AGAAAATTAACGCTACCCCAGCCAAAACCCGCACATATTCCCACTTCTGGGGAGTACAAAAAGAAGGTGAGTGTGCCCCATTTTTCTGCAAAAGACCTTAAAATCATGACAAGAAACTTAAATCTAATTTATTGTTGACCTCAGAGCCAAAGCTTTTGTCCTCCTCTTTGTTCCCAAGATGGCTTGCAAAACCAACAAAACCAACAAAAAATCAAATGAGTAGCAGTCACTCCCAGTTAGAACATCCTGAAATAGTTCTGCCTGGAGACCACAAGCTAATGGACTGCTATGGCCCCCCGGTGGGACCAAAAGCACTGATTCTGGTCCACCATCACAGGGAGGGAAAAGTAATCTCTGATAGCTGTGCTTTCTGGAATATGAGCAGTGGTAAGGAAATAAGAGCCTGTGAAACCAAGACACACAAAATATCCTGTGACTTAGTGTCTGAGTTTATATAATAACACTTGTAAACTTGGTGGATTTCTAAGGACACCGGAAAAGCGTACTGGAGTTGCAGCCTCAGTGTAGCTAGAATCTTATTTTTGTGGGCAAAGCACCATTGGAGGCGTCTCCGGCAATAATCAGTGGCCACGTCGCAATGTAGATTTCCAGATTTTCTTCCTGTTACTAGATTCAAACAGCAATCACATGACTACATTTAAGATCCTTACTAGTCAATGCCTGAAAATGCATTTTTACGCTTTTAACCCCATTAACCTTATTTGATGATGACAATTTCACCTGTTGAAACTATGTAGCACTGCACTTGTACTCTAGAAAAACTCATCCCTAAAATCTTGTCCAAAAGTGTGAATTTTCTTGAACACAAAACCCCAAGGTCAGGTGATTTTATAGTCCTGTGCACAGCTTTTCTTTCTGTGTCCACATGCAAATATTAATTCTCTACAAAAATTGGTTACTTCTGGTCATGAATATTCTCATGTTAAAGAGGAAGAGTGCTAGAAACATAAAGGATGAAGTGGAGGTACACAAGCTCTTCCCTCTGCTCATGACAGGCAAAAGATGTGGCTGTGCTGCTGCCATGGCGGCACACAGCTCAGAAGCGTCAACAGGAGCGGTTCTAGAGTCTCCCCGCATCACCACCTCTCTGCCTGCCACAGCTGCTCGGCAGAGCAGACAAGCCGGGCTGCCGCTCGCTCAGCTGAAGACTCCTACCTGAAGAAAGACGTGAATCCCTGCTACAGGGGAATGTTACCTGCTGCAGCTAGCAAAAAGGTGCTCCTGACCTAGCATCCTGCTGAGAAGGAGGTCCTCTACAGCGCTGCTTCTCAGATAGTTAGACCTTTCTGTCCGCTACACCATCACTTACACGCTTTCTGGGTATAGACTGAGAACTGGTGAAAAAGCAATAAATGACGTAAGTTACATTTTTTTCTTCAGAGCCCGTTAACACAGTCAGATATAAGACTACTCTAAATAACTGCTGTACACATCCTTCGTAAGGAAATGGGAAGCCTTTAAGTATTTTTGAATACTGCAGTGATAATCAACATTTTGGGTGTGATTTTATCTACAATATAAAAATAACAGTGCTGGCTGGTAACATCATTCTGTTAAACGTCCAATTGTTCATGGCATTGCTGCATTTAATTTTACTAATTTAAATATTAACAATGTTGTAAGTTGCTAGTTTGGTAAAGTAACACCCCTAAAATCCCCAAAACATATTGTACCAGCAACTATTGTATATAATACTCTGAGGTTACTAAATAACTAGTGAGATTCTAAAAGTATGCTTCACAAGACAGTTTAGATTACCAAAGAAAATCCACTGAACAATTTAATAAAGAAGAGAACCCTCCCACATGAACTTCATTTTTAAAAACTTCAGTTAGATATAGTTAGTCCTTCATAGGTAGCCAACATAAAAACATAAGTAGAATTATGCAGAAAATCAGAAGCTCCAGAAAAAACAAAGTATTTTCTGCTCCTACAAGTTACTTTATACACTATTTTGAGTAAGCATTTAATCTTAAGCATATGGAGAGAATATTTTATGGTAAGTACTACATATTTTAAAAAATTATAGGGCTTTGGAAAAGCTGGTCTCCCAATTAATTTTTTTTTTTAATCAAATTTATGAAAGTTGGCTGAGAAATACAAATGCAATCAGGATGTTACACAAAATAGCCATTTTCATTATTTCAATTATTCAATCAATCCACTACAACCAAAATCAGAAGACATGTATTTTTACTTTTGATATCAGGAGATACAGATATTTTAAATTTGAAAAAAAAGGATGAGCTTGCCATAAGCTACAAACCGTTTCTATGAACTGTAGCTTCCACCCTGCCTCCTCGTGCACTGAAATGTGACGATTCACAGGCAACAAACATTGTGACTTGCCTCGGTTGGTTTGTCAGGGCATAGGATGACCTTAACGCAAGACCTTCATCTCTGGAATTTATACTTTTTGTTTGCAGATGGGCAAGCGTCCTCACGTCTGTTGACCTTCTGTGCACATTGAAAAATCTGTCAGTTCACTTGAGTTTTTCCCAGTCAGATGTAGTTATGGAACAAAAATGTAACCTTGCAAAACATTAAGAGTTGCTTAAAAAGATGTCCTGTCCTTTCCCAACCCTCTTCTCTCCACATAGTCCTTAAAATATGCTGCTTCCTGACCCCAACAGATACCTGATGAATGCTTATTCCGTTCTCAGCCCATCCAGGCTCTTACAGCCAACAGCTCTTACAGGTGAATTTCTTATGTTTGATGAACTTGATTCTGGATCATCACAAAATAGATTAGCTAACCCCCCTGTGTGACATTTGCAAGGTGCCTTCAATAAACCGCCATTCTTAGGATGTTCCCAACCTTAGACTTATGGTACTGAGTATCCTAAGCAAGTGCCAGAAGCAAAGAACTCTGTGAACATTAGCGACTGCTACTACTGGAAAGGAAAAAAAACCCAAGTTAATGGTAATAAGGGCTAATACTCTATTATTCAACCTCTAAAATAAAAATCTAGAACAGATACCAAGTATTAAGAGGCATGGGACTGCCTCTCTGCATACACAACTGTTAGTAAAGATAGAAACCAAAAAGGCCTCGACATCTCCTTTGCTATCATCACTTGTCTCTGCACTTCTTGTCACAAGTCAGAAAGCAATCCGCTCCCCCTGCTTCAATATAGTCTGTTACTATAAAAAGGTGTCTCAGATGTACATGGCAAGGAGCAGCTGAGCTCCAGAGCAGAAACTGCAAGCAAAAAAAAGCAGCTGGGAAGTGCCCACAAGCAGCATTGGTTGCCCAAGGTAACTACTTAGGAGTGGAACAGGAGGTAGCTTGCTTCCATCCTCCTGTGCTTACAGCTTCTCCAAATTATATATGGAAGAGGTAAAAATAACAAGAAAAACAGCAACTGAAGTTTCTGCTACCTTTCAGTCAATGTGAGTTCATGTTCTTTACTTCACCTCCAGCATTTGGCCTGGCGATCAGCGGAAGAGCCAACCTGCTCTGCAGAAAGACACTCCGCAAGAGAGTAAGAAAAGTTACCCAACAAATACCAATTTCAAGTCAGTGTATGAATCTCAATCCAGCCACAACATGTGGAAGCACAACAAGCGTTACTCTCAGTCTAACTGCTCAGGGGGAAAGTACTACTTCTCCAGGAACGCTCCCCATCCTAGGATGGTTTGTCACATACAAGGTAAGAGTTGTTGAGGGACCACATAGATAGCCTCAACAACTGCTCTGGCAAGCACGAAGAGAAGTGCAAGTGTAACATGTTTTTTTTTCCAAAAGTACCCACTGTTCCCGTTTCCTGTTTCTGTCTAATAGAAGCATTTCATCAAAGAAAGCTGTTGCCTTCATTTCAATCCACTAAGCATCTTTACCTGTCCTCAGCAATGAATAATCTCAGGTTGGTAACATAAAGGTTAGCAGCACTAAATTCTTTACAAGGTACAACTAAAACTATTTTACCAAGACAACTGTCTGGGATTTCTTTTAAGCTAATAATTTCTTTCAAGCTAAAATAATTTCTTCCTCTTTCCTTCTGTGCTCACAAATGTACTGTAAGTGCCAGAGATAGGTTGTCACAATCTTTTTCTCTATTTCACTCTCACCTAAATAATTCTTGTACCTTTCCAGGAGCAACATATTATACAATGCAGCATTTAATAAGAGTAACCTGGTGCTCTAAAAACACTGTGCTGCTCTGCTGTGTGCTAGATCTAGCTGTGATTACTCTGCCTACACTTGAAAGGAATACAGTCAAAATCAGTGTGCCATCCGCATCAGCAGAAGAAATAATACTTCTAGGGATAGGTTTCTGTTTCAGAAGCTGACCCTGTATGTTTGCACAAAGACATCTTTCTGGCAGCAGCTGAAAGACAATTGCTGATACATGGCCAGATTTACTGCAGAAGGCACAGAAGGGTCATGAAGGGAAAAAAAAAATCTGCCAAGTTCTTTGGGGACTGTTAGAATAAGTAGGTATTGCATCAGGATAGGTATTGGTAGTTGATGAGTCTGTGATACAACTTTTGTAATAAGGGATGAAGGGTTCTGAATAAAACTGAATTTCTTGCATCTCAGAAGGGATGCCTTTGAAGAAACAAAGCAAGACTCCTCCTTTCAGATTGACCACCCAGTTATAATGTACACAGTTCTGCATGTCTGTGTGAGCATATATACATATATATATGTATACATATAAAATCTACCTAAAGTAAAAATATAGAACACATAAAAAACAAAGTATGTATTTGTGTGTGTATCTCTCTCTTTTTCTAGAACCTGGTAAAAACCACAAGTTGACCACAGCCAGCAAAGACCAAAGTCTTACATGGCTCAGCCAGATTAATTTGGTGGATATCTTTGTACTCTCGGCAGAATAATGTTGAGCTGTAATTACTTTCTGCCTAATATTTTTCTTATGTCAGATACTAAACAGAATCAAGGTTCTGAAAATCCTCATCAACTACTTAATAGCACCGCTTCTTTGCCATGTTAAATCCAGTTTGACTTATGTTAATGATAAAAATAGCAGCTGTTTATAAAATTCCTTTTACCCCAGCTAAGAAAGGAGGATTCTAGTTCTTCATTAAATGCTGCGACTCTCATTGAAAACCACAAGCTTTTTAAAAAAGGCAGAAGAATGATACTTCTCTCCTGATTGGCATTGCTAAATGAGTGTGCTTCACCCTACCTGGCCATTCTTCAGATTTTATCTGGAACATCATCACTGTTCAGGGAGTGATTGATCACACCGTCCTCTGCAACAGACTGCTTACAGCCCTCTGCCATCAATTCAAATATGACAAGTTTATTCACTGTTTACACACCATTCCATAAGCCCTGTATTATTACATATAAATTTCAGGTTTGATACCTCTGTTTTCCATTCTTCCAGCACAGACTCTCCTTGGAGATCACCTGCAAAGTTAACTGCGCATGTTTATTGTAGTAAAGACTGTATCCTTTGGTTTTTTCGCACAGGATTAAACAACGCTCCAGTCTGTGTTGTAAGAAGCAGCTTTTCAAGAGAACACCCATCTGCTGGCAACACAGTCATCCCCAAGCAAGTTGATCAAGAATATGTGCTAACTGGGAATGCCACAAGCAACACACCTGCCAATTGCTACCTTCCAAAGCTCAAGGGTTTCATGCAAAGGGAATTAGGTACTTCACAGTCCGTGACACGTGAGTAGAGGCACCAAACTGCCATATTATACAGCAGCAGAAGAGGAACCTGAGCTATTAAAGGTGCAACTGCGTCTCAGCCAGGGCACTGTGTCATCACAGCTCAGGTCCAGGTAAAGAGAACATAGGGCAATGAATGCACATTTGAAAGGCAAGTATTTCTTCCCTTCTAGGTGTGTTATTCACCACATCTTACAAGATTTCTCCTCGCTAATTACTCTTGCATCTTTATAGCTTTTAGAGATTATATGTTCACTAGACATCTAATAATTTCACAATCATCAGCAATTACTCCATCCGTAAGGAACATTCTGCAGTAGTGGTTACACAGCACTGTAAGCATGCATCTATGAAATACACTTTCCAGAATTTTCTTCAGATTTCTCAGACATCTCAGCAAATAATTGCATTAATGTACTATGTGAAGTAGTAAAAGCAAACAAAAAAAGGAAAGAAATACATCCCCTTAGAGATATCTAAAATATGGCTTGTGCATTTTTGTAATCAAAAATGCCCCCTTGCCCCGATATAACATAAGGTGTATCTTATGGCCTTTATTCTTCAACTTGAGAAAACATTCTGCCTGTTGATTTCCAGAAGGACACGCAAATGTTTCTGAAAGGATTCAAAATAACCCTACTTCATCTGAAAAGGTAAGGGAAAAAAAGACACAGCTCTCTATTTCGGCACTCTCTCTCTCATTTCTCAACACTGTAACTGCAGTCTCAGACTGCTAAGGAGGACACTGCGGAACTAAAAAGAGGGACGTGAGGATCCCATGTGTAGAACATGAGAGCTTGGAAGGGAGATGGTGTCAAGTAGGGTGATAACTAAGCTATAACTGTATCACTTTCAGCTCTGTAATGTCACTGTGCTCTGCTAGCAAGAAAAATGGTCAAATCAAATGAAGATGGGAATAAAATTAATTTTGCCTCAAACTGCTGGGGAAAAAATGTCATACTATACAACAAACAAGCACAGGAAAAAGCCTCCTCCCCTCACAACACAAAGATTCTTTAGATTACTTACTGCCAACAGTTTTATTTTTGCTGACACTGTTTTGTAGAAGCAGCATGCTGGGGTTTAGATCCAACTTTGCAGCTGTGTTCATAAATTCCAGTAAAAGATTCTTTCTGCAATAACTCTTTAGTCTCAAGCTGCAGGCTATCTAATACTCGTCTCCTCTATTGTGACTGTACGAGAGGTGAGGACTAAGTGATTATTCCATTACAAACAGTACCACAAGGAGGATTGCACACTCCTGAATGGGAATGCAAGTGTTGCTTGGGAATGCAGGGGTACTGGATAGCAGAGGGCACTACGAAGACGTTTTGCAGTAAAGGTGCTAAAAATAAGTACTCACTTTTCTCCTAAGTTTTCTATTTTAACTGGGGTGTGGGGGTCTGTCTAAATGTTGCTGTTTGGTTCCTGAACTGGCTATAGTAAAGACCATGCTTTATTTTTACTGCTCACTTATACATGCAGAACACAGTTCTTCAAACTGTATTTACTGTGGTTTGGCTGCAAAATAACTACGTAGTGGACAGCTACTGCTATATAGCCACACTCAGTAAACTACTGTTTCTTAATAGCTGTTAACTCCTTTTGCTTTTCCTCTGCACTTACAAACAGAACCTTCTGCCAATCACATTTTGATTTCTGGGCCTCTAATAGACTGGTGAAGCCTGCACATAGAGAAATGAAGAGTAGTGGCTCAGCAGCACACTACAAACCCATGACAGAAAAGCAAACAGACCACAGAGGTCCAGATTTAATCCCTTCCTCACCTGGTTTCCATCAGTAGTTCACTTTCATTCTCATCCAGTGTTACGCATTATGCCATGGATATCTGTTATTCTTCTCAGTGACTGTATATTAGAAGCTGTAACAATTAACCTATGCAATTAACCTACAGGTGGTCATATTCAACTGAATAACAGTTTTAGATGTGTTTTCTGCTGCACACTCTTGCTGGGGACTAGTGTTAGCCATGTACTTCAAATTGCCTTTAATTGCTGCTTAAATGGAGTCAAGCCTTTACATATTGTTTTCTATTTTGGAAAAGCTTTTGAAAAAACAATTCCAAGCCTCTGCACAACCTGCAAACAGACAGGAAATCCACGTTTCGCCTCTCACCCAGCCTTCCTCTCCATTCGTCAACTTGCATTACTGTCCTTGCATCCAGGAGAATGTAAATTCTGACCTGAGCTATCTGGATCAGGAAATAAAGGTAAGACATGAGTGCTACAGTATATGGCTTCCTATGATGTTACACATTTTTATTTCTCTTGAGGACGGTGTGGGACTTTATTGGTCAGATTTCCCTCCCCCCGCCGCCCCAGTGTGGAGTCTACTGACTTTTGTATTTAGCATTTACTCTTGAGTTGCATTCACCTAACTGGAAGTTGCTATTGGCAGTCACTGGGGGAGCAATGCAGCTGGCACACGGGCTGAGACTTGTTCTCTGAAAGCAGCCTGCAAATATTACATGTCACACGCAAGGGGCTTTATATGGAGTAAACACTGCCTGGGATTTCCTTTCTGTGTCTCTGAAGTGCTGTGTATACGGTACTTGCTCAACATCACCTTTTGCAGACTGGTGTCCTTAGCTCACACAATGGCAAAACTGATGGGACATCTTAGGCTAGGCAATTTGCACAGCTGTAAAACTGCATGCTCACACAGCTAGAGCTAAACTAAAACACATATAAAAACTGTCATGAATCAGCTTCTCTTCCTTCATGGTAACTATCCTGTATATCTTCCAGGTGCTGGAAAAACTCAGCAAAATTTTGCAGACAGATTCGCTTACCGAGATCCAAAAATGGTTCACAAGGGCAAGTAACAAAGGTAACAAACATATGCATCTGCACCCCTTTCTGAAAAGCACGCGCTCTTGTACATTCGCATAAACCCCTGAAATTCTCATAGACCTGAACTGAGTGGGGTTGCTGAGGTGGAAGGAATAGGACCCAGTGAAGTGTCCTTGGCCCAGCTGTGGCTGTGCTGAGCAGTAAGGTGATAGTACACAGAAGTTAGTCACTCAGACCTCAGCGCGCTCAGGTTTGGTGCAGGGTGGGAAAACGTGCTCTCTCAGAGGGGCTCTGGGCTGCTGTGGGCTGGGGGAAGGCAGAAAGCAAATGACACGTGTCTCTTGTGTCCTTAAGCCCTTTGAAAATGAGGTAAGGGGACTCGTGAATTCACTCCTAAACATCCAGATCAGCAAGTGGGAACTTTAATAAAATTTCTGCTACCTTCACATTTCAGAGAAAGACTTCGTGTCCAGTCTGATCTATTCAGAACCGACTGACAAAGGCGTGCTGAATTCTAAGGAAGGTGCAGCAGAGAACATGAATAGCCTGAGTCTGCCAAAGCCTCTCCCTCCTCTTCAGAGAGGTCCAGAAGGGGAAATGAATCAGTCCAGGTAAAATCTGCAGTGAGGTTGCTAGGATTAGGGATAAGCTAAACCTCATAACCAGAAATTTTTGTTTTCTCCTCCGGTGAAAAATGCAAATTTGTGATTGAAGTTTATCATGCACAGCCTTAATCAAAAATGCTCCTAACTACAAACAACCCCATACTCTTTGATACAAATTTAGTTATTACAGGAACATCACAAAGTTTTAGGAGCACTTGAAACCCCTTTGAGAAAAACCTCCTGTATACTGCAGTGCACAGTTATACAGTTGTAAAGTTAGACATTCTTTCTTTTTCACTCAGGTCTTTGGCTAAAGAATCAGTGGCAAGTCGAAACATGAAACAGGGTAAGTAATGGAAATTATAAGCGTTAAGACACTATATGTCTAGGATGCTAGTCACCAAACAGCACAGGGACTGTGAATATTCGGAAGCTCTAACTTTTGTCTTTGCAGCAGGACCCAAATTAGAATCATAGAATCACAGAATTCAGTGACAATATGAGAAATGACATTTAATTTTTACGTTCTCTCAGAGCTAGATACCCAAGACCCTCTATTCTTGCGGCCACTCAATTGGTTTCTCTTGATACGACACTCATGTAAATCTTCTCCTAACTGGTACAACTCAGAAATACAGCAAGGTGAGGGACGTGTACAACTGCATCTGCCTCTTGCTAGAAAGAACATAGCAGCAAGAGGTACTGATTTCACCTCTTCACTAAAATCTGCTCCTGTAAGTTATACATCAGCTGAAACTCCTGCCAACGAACTTTGGGATTTGCCCTCATCTAACATATCTCCCTCACTCTTTGCAGGCTAAATCAGGCTTTCTCAGACTTTTTCAGCTACCAAAGCCCACTTTTGCATCTTCTACCCAGTCAGGGCAAGCCAACAATACTGGCACTCCCAAGAAACACCACTATCACCTCTTTGTGTGCTTTCTGAAGCATACAGAGGCAACAAAAGTCAGTCCCAGAGTATGTTATCATTTTAACAAAGCAATTCATGCCAGCTCTAATGCTACCACCATTTACTATTTTGTGTAACTCTACTGGAGGAGTGGGTAAAGAGTAATCTTATATAAAAACAAGAAGGAAAAAGGAGAAACCTCCAAAGCAACAAACTCTGCTTTTCAAAGTGGTGTCCAGGGAGGCTTCTTTGCTAAAGAGTGGATGTGCTTCTATACGCTCAGCTGCGTATGGAACAAAGCCAAATCCTAAGCCTAGCCTGATAATATACAGCTTTCTTTTTCACAGTGTTTTCCAGAAAGGGAGAAAGAATGCCTTTTGCTCTCAACGCTGAGAAACAGAGGTCCAGCACAAGCAGACACACTGTTCCCAGGGAAGAAGTGCAACTGAGAAAGTGCTATGGAAACAAGAGACCGTCCTGCCTTCACACCCTATCAGAAGTCTCACCTGTGCCACGGTCACCTCCAAACAACAGATATCCCCTTTCCAGTGGAGGCCCCCGTATTCACAGCCACTGAAGAGTCTCCCAGTCACTTTCACATACAGAAATATGTAACCTTAGCATTTATATTATAAAGATATTTGTTCAGACTCCCTGTTAAAACAATTTTATGCTCATTATATCTAGTCCTCCAGCGATTCAACCAAACCATGCTGCATAGGTACACGAGAAGTGAGCTAAATGAAAAAAAGGACAGAGGCAACACTTTTTTTTGGCATCAGATTCATCTTTTTGCGTGACTCAGCCAGGCCTGCACAAAGAGCAGGTCTTGTGTGCGGATTTGATTCTACAGTCACAGACATACTGGGGTAAGAAGAGGGGCACACATACATTATCTGCAGAGAAGCACGTCAAGCCCTAGGCACTGGGAAAAAAAAAAAGATGCTGGATTTTCAAAATCTGGCCTGCAGAGTGACTGCAGATGTCTGCCTCACACCAGGCTAGAATTTGCTTCCATAGCTCTCATTATTAGCAGAGAAGAATCACAAATTGTAGTATCCAATGGGGAGGGACTGGACGCAGACAGGACAGGACAATACCAAACAAACATTAAAACCACCATGCAAACATCAAGCCATTGAAACAGAGACAGAAACGTATCTGGCCCTTTTTTTAGGCCTTGTGAGTGAACTGTGAAAGCAGAAGAATTGGGGTTTATCTGTTTTAAACATAAGTCCATCAATTTATTCTCACAAAACCAAAGAAAGGTGATAAATCAACCCTACTTCCATTTATTTTCCAGAGCAAGATTATTCAGTGCAGACAGGCTCATTCAAAACATGTTTGAGCCTTTTGGAGGGGGAAGGAGAGAAATCCTGTTAGCACAGCATTAAGGAAAGAAGAGCTTAGCTCAGAGCAGAGCTCAGTGTACTTTTTCCAAGAGCCTCTGCCTTCACTTCAAATCATGTCTACTGTAGTAACAACTACCACCTCTATTCCCATTTCCCGCTGCAAGAGAGGAGTATGCTAAGACCTGGGGGACAGTCTCAGCTCTGATTTCTTTTGGTGCTCACTCACTGCTGCACATGCCCAGCCATGGTAGAATGCCGGATGAAGCAGGCTAGTGGGCATGAAGTAACCTGTAGCCGCAGATCAATGAACAGTGTATTTGTGAATGCAGAATGCAGCAGAAGGCCGGTCACCCAGAGCAGTCATTACTCAGTTCCACTTGCCAATTCAGACCACAGATGCAGAAACTCATTTGTACAAAACTATTTAAATGGGTATCAGTTTCCCAGATATGTAATTTCTGTACAGCTGTGCAAGAGTATGAGCCTGCAGGCCATGGTAAATGAGAGCGGAACTTCAAGCGGGAGAGGAGATGGCAGTACTTTGAAACTTCCCTTGTGTCTTAGGTATAAACACTACAAAGTCGGCTGGAAACCAAACTGGAAACCAAGTGAACTGGAAACCAAACAGCAGGGTGAGTGACCACACACTGAGCTGTGGTAGTGACTTATTGAATGGGCCAGATACTTGACCAAATGCTTTTGGGCCATACTCAAATTGCCTTAATTCCATATAAATCTCTCTCCTGAGTGTTTCTTATCAGCTGTCTCTCAGCATCATGCTGTGTTAGCTGAGCCTGAAAAACTTAATTACGTCTTAGAGGCTACAGAGGCTCGCTACTGAACAGAATCAAAGTGAAAGCAACCATGTTAAGACAGTCTTTCAACAGCACGGTTACATTTCCTCCGCGAAGCTGACAGGTTACTGAGCAAACATATTAGAGCCAGAAGGGCAATAGTTTGCAAGGACAGTTACAATCAATTGCATCTTCTCAGTCATTTCCCTTCCCAAACCATCTGTTACTGTATTTGCTAGATGTCTGAAAACAAAGCTCCCTCAAGGGCACTTCACCCATCCTAGTAGTAAAGGAAGACCAAGGTTATGTTCAGCACGTGAACCTGAAGATCAAAATTAAAGTAATTTATGTTGGGAAGTGTCTCAGATACATAGTAACCTGTCAATCCAGCCTGAACTTCGCCATTCCCCAATACAAATGTTGCCTAGTCAAGTTTTCATCCTAAGCTTAAGTTGTGCATGTGTCCTCCGATGCCTTCCTTGATCCCACCTGCCTGCTTTATCAGTGACCTGGATTCTCCAGCTGGAGAAGCTGAAGCAGATTCTTACAATCACGTCAGGGTGCAGCAGGGATGGAGAAACTCTTAAGGCTATTCTGGCGAGGCAGCTGCATTTCTATGTACTCTAATAAAATTAGATACCCCATCTTCTGAACTTGTCCCTACCCCCAACAGCTGGGAGTCTGCAGTCTTTAGGATCTGTCTGCTGTTACTGAGAAGGTTTAGATAGTACACCAATTTAAATGGTCATGCATCCATGTCAAGCATTTCTAAATGTTTCGTGAAGTGCTCAGGTTGCAAACCGATATTCCTCTGCAAGTATTTATTTCTATCCTTCTTCAGAGAGGTTATCCTGTCATTGCAGATCTAGCCTATTCAATAAATATGTAAAATCTTTGCATTGTGTAGTGAACACAGAAATAAGTATGAGTTACACACTTTGGCATGATAACTAAATATGGGCAAGTTTTCAGAGCTTTCAGAAAAACCCAAAGAGCTGAGCTCAGGTAGCTGTGCTGCCATTTAAAACAATTTCGTTAAGTAGTTAAGAAAAAGAATAAAATGCATTAGAATAACATTGACTGTTATCAACTCTATAACTTATTCACTGTAGGTAAGTAAAATAACACTTTAGTTCTATCTGACAACGGCAGGAAGCCAGGAGAAACACACTAACAGCGTCCTCCAAAGAAAATAAATCATGTTACACATCCGGGGTGCACAACTTAATCAGGGTGAACTGTCTTCCCCAACCCACCTCCCACCAGTTTAATATTAAACAACAAGAAAAAATACATAACAGATATTCCCTGCATCAAGATAAGAAGAGATTAAAAATACTGAAAAGCTGAATGCCAGATGCAGGATGCTAAGAGGCCCCTCACTACAATTAAATGAACTTGAAAGCCACACTCAGACTCCCATGATTTCTCACAAATCGCACAATACAAATTTCTGGCCACCTGACTGTTTTCAAACAGTTGCCCATTGCTGCAGAGGTAGGAGGTACTACTTGGGAAGTCCATGCCCTTCTTCACAGAGGTAGCCAGGGACACTCAGGGCTTAAAAAAAAAAGGACACAGCACGTGAAATGCATCAGAGTATGTATTTCAGGATCAGCGTGAAATACAGCACAACGCCAAGACCACTCAGGATGCTTTTCCCAACAATGCCAGCAAATGGCCATCCCACCAGCCTCCACTTTCACACTGCAAAAAGATGCTGGAAAGACAGGAGGACTACCTTCCTGGTCTGTCATGAAGAGTTGTGACATCATGGCAGGGACTGGAGGTGTCACAAATAGCACAAGCCCTCTTGCTTTTACAAGCTACTCTCTGACTCTCTCACAAACAGGTTTCAGTTTCTCACACTTGATCTGATGCTGGGGTGATTTTCATGTGCTCCAACCAATTCATCTGTTTTCATCAACAACTTTACATTGAACTCATTGCAAGAATGGCACTTCAGGGCTTCTTGAACCATCACTTCTCCCTGAGGACTTCTGCATAGCTGCAGCCTGCAGCCTGCAAGTGAACCACCACTTTACTTTAGTATGATTGTGTCTAGTGCTGGTGATTCCACCAACGAACAGCCAAGCATCTAAAGCATTTAGAGAAGGGTTAGAAATCTCATCGGTCCACCAAGAACAGCCTTTTCTAGACAGCTGCAGAACTGCAGGATACTGAAAGGCTGACGATGGTAGCAGTAGTCAGAGGGCTGCACCCATCCAAACCCCAGTCTACTCTTGCTTCCTGCTCCATCTCACCAGTTAACACATCCCGAGGACAGCATCCTGTAGAGACAGCTCATGACAACAGGCATGAACTTCAGCCTAGTATGACCTGATTAGGTTAGCACAAACAGAGAAAAGGTAAACAGCAGCAATGGCAATTACTGGCTAAGGCACCAGTGAGGATAGGAAGACCAGGTGATTGAGACAAGCAACACGTATGAACAGGCAACAGCTAGCCACCAAGCTGCTGTGACATTGTGGAGTTAGCACTGGGAGCCCTCCAAGAGCAGCATTCCAGATCATCTTTTTCTTCTGTCTATTTCTGCTTAGACAGGTAAGCTTCAGATTTGCAACCGCTTAATTTAAAAACACGTGCATGCGGATGGGTGTGTGCATTTATCTAGTTTCACTGGTGAAGATGTAAGACAGGACATGGTTTAAGCTGCAACACACTTTCTTCACATCACAAAAATGGTTTGTCAGCAAAACAATTCCATAAGAATTTTGGACCCTTTCCAAACGTCTCCAAAGTCC